TTAAGTCAATAATTTCTATAAAAATAAAATAAACATTTTCAGATTATAACGATGCCGCGATAATACGAATTTGTCGGTCAATTCATGCGAAGAACAGATGCCAAGAATCACAACGCTCGTGTAATCGTAAAATTGGAAACCACGTAATAAATTCATATAATATACTCAATCATAATAAAATTATACGTGAAAAGCATGTTTTTTTTTTTTTGCGTAAATATTTTCTCAAATACAATAAATACAAAATCAGATAAATAATAAATCGTGTTATAGTTCTTTAAAATGTAGCGACATTACTCTAAGGTAAAAAATAACTAATCGGAAAATAAAAACAGTTTTATATGCGTAAATAAGAGTTGATCTCTTAAAATTTTGATTAAAATGGTAGGAAGAAATCATTTAATTTAAAAAGCCGCTTTATTTACAATATTAATCCCTTATGCATCAACACATATTTTTTTAGCGCGACACACCATTTTTTTACGGCTTCGAATTATAAGAAACAAACACTACATTTTTCGCATTTTAACAGAAACGTGTAGAAACAAATAATATGTGCACTACTGTTTCGTATATTGGACCGGACATATGGAGGAATTAATGAAAAATCACACACTCGGCATAATAACGATAAACAGCAACAATGATAATCTTTTGGTTTTTCTCTTGACACACGTTTAAAAATTTTAATTTCCGGGATAAAAAAAAAAAAAGTAACAGCGCTATGTGGTTGTATGCGACAGGTTATTATTTTTGTTTTTTCCAAAAGATTTTATGTGGAAACCAAGAATATAAATATACAGAACGAGGGGATAAAATCGACGACAAAAACAAGATAAAAAATATGAAGAGAGCAGACGTCTTCTGGACCGATGCCGTAGTATTACACCGAAACGACATCTTAAATGGTCGTCGATCGTTATCGATGGAAGTGTAAGCAGTTTCCTTTGCGTTTTATATGGTATGACGGGTTTCACATTACATACGCGTCGCGTAATAAATATTTCGATCTGTTCGTTAGTGGCGCATAGACTATGTATGTACTGCGTCAAGTACAAGCTAGGGGGCATTTCAAAACCGACTTTTTTTTTTAATGGAGAGGAGGTAGACATTCGAGGTATAAAACTATAAACCCTATAACTCAGAACTGCGCACTTATGGTTTTAAATGCCGCATTATAAAATGTATGAAATATTTGTTTAGTTTTACAGGTATATGTTTCGAAAGGACTTCGCATTCGCATATGTGCTGTTTCTGTCTTAACACAGCCAATTTTACACCTTCAGTACAATCCATTTTACTTTGTTATTTTTAATATGATAGTGAAATTACCTATAATTGTCAAAAGTTAAAAAAATAATATTATAATATTATGCCCTTTCCGTAATATTTTTTTTTTGAAACAAGTTATAAGTATTTAAAACATTTTAAAAAAAATATGTAATCATCAATTTTCCATAACTAATCATGATATTAAAATATCGAAAATATCCTATGTTGGGTTCTAAATTATATTCTTCCTTTAAATTTGATATGATGTTTAAAAAAAAATAAATAAATAATTTTACTACTAATTAAAAGTGTTTTATGCGGATTACGTGCATGTATTTTTAAGACAAATGACTCGCTGTAGTTTGTATTAGTTATCCTTCAAATTACATAATTTTACATGGATTATTCTTTAAAAATAGTAAATAATCATTTAGCAGTTAATACTTGTGTGTTATCTCAAAAGTATTATTTTTGAAAATATGCCTTTAGTATACAAATTTGCAGTCATTGATAAACGAAATTTTTAAAATTTATATGTACATAAGCTGTTGTTTTTATTTTAAATTTCTTATTTTTAAATAGAATATTTTTTGATTTATTTATTTATTTGAGAATTCAAATACATAGAAATTGAATTATAAACGAGTATTTAAATTAATACCCTGCTAAATATTTATTCACTAGTTTGCTTTTATAAATTTAAAATACATACTTTATTCAAAAATCGATTTATATACGTAAGAATTTTATCAAAAATATGATTCGCTTCAAAATATTAAATTAAAAATATGTTGTCATAAAAAAAAGAGTAAAATCTTTCAAAAAAATTTGACAATAAATATTTTTTTTTCAAAAATGCTGCCACGTGAATTTAAACTTCAAAGTAAAAATAATATATTCATATTATACAATATTATATGAAATCAGCCTGAAAAAAACACGGCGCACGAAACACTGCCATAAACACATGTCGAACATAATATATCGTCGGCCTAAATCGCAAAGGTCGTATATCCAAAATTACAAATTTTTCAGGAGAAGAAAAAAACGTTTGAAAAATTCACTTTATAAAATATTAGACATTATTCTTTTCCCTTCATTTAAAAAACATAGTTGCAATTATATTAGAACAATTTAAACATTGTAGTGTTCAATAATATTTTTATTATGGACTTAGAACTTTTTCTTCTTAGATTGCCTAATAAATATGGAGATACGACTTTTATGACATTTGTGCAATGGACTTACAACTATTTCTTCTTATAGTTCCTAATTTATATGGAGATAAGACGGACAGCTTTTTAAGCATAATAAGGTAATATTACCTATTATGAAATAAATAGTATACTTTAATATTATACATAATATATTATTATTATATAATATAATATTAGTACCATTTAATATTTAGTATTTTAATTTATAAAACTTTTATGTAAAGGACAAAAAGCTGTAGGTATATTTAATAATATTATACTAGACAACAACTTTTAATAATATAAAAAACAAATAAAAAATATTTGAACATAAACATAGTTTTACAAATTCTTATTTTTTGATTATCTGCCAGTAAAAAGTATTCTATAGATGAATGTCTTCTTGATCGAAGTGCCAAAGTTCTTTTTCTTGATGTTGTTTTAACTGTAGTATGGTTTTTAAGGAATTGTTTTTTCTCACCTTTATCAAAGCTCCAATACAAATTAAATAGCTGTTTTCTTCGGTTTTCTGTAAGTTTAGAGCACATCAGTTTTGAATTACTTTTATTCTGTAGTTTACAATGGCAAGGTTCTTTTAGTACTTTAGATGACCGATTTACTGTGTATAACCATTTACCATCAATTTTCTTTTTTCCTTTATATTGTTTTCCTTCTAGTCTATTTTTTTTATTCACATTTGCTTTCCAATCGTTTGAGTTGCCTTTTCTCTTTCTTGTTCTTCTATGATGGTCGGGTAGTTCAGTAACAAGTTCAGTATTTACTTGTGCAGAAACTTCAGATGTGTCAATAATATTATTTATATTATTTTCTATACTTATACAATTATTATCATTACCTTGTACCGGGTTTGTATGAATTAAAATATTTTCATAATAATATGATTCACTATGGTCTGAATATCTTAAGCAGTTTTCATTATTTTGTATATTATTTTTATTCTGATCCTGTACACTATTCACAGCTTCATCAACTTTTGCCACGTTGCTATCATGTAAATTATTAAGTTGTTCAGTAATATAGTCATCAATATTGAAATCTAAATAAGTTAAAACATTATAATAATTATATAAAACTTAATAGTTTATTAATTGTGTGTATATTGTTGTTTAAATTATCTATAATGTTATTATAATTACCTTGCACTGAATTTATCTCAATATCAATTTCTTCATTATGCTCAATATGAAAATTTGCAACTTGATTGGTACTGAAATCAGCATTTTCATCACTACTTACAGCAGTGATCGGTTTTAAAGCCAATTGTATTAATTGTTTACTTCGAGAAGACATGGCGTTATTAAGTAAAAACAATTAAAACGTTTTGAAAAATAAAGTAATAAGTAATTAACATAATTAAATAAAATATTAATAACAAATAATAACAGACAACACTATGGCATAAATGTATAAAATATATAAATAGCATTTAATCAAAAATAATATTATCACATACATATCCCACTGGAGATACGACTTTTTCATGGCCATATCATTAATTGGAGTTCCGTCTATTTCTTTATAATATCGATTTCATGGAGGATAAAATTATAAAATTTCAATAACGACCTTATCAAACGATGTGGTTTTTTTTTCTTAATTTTAATCACTAATAATCCTAAAATCCAAAAAAATGGAGTTACGACCTTTGCGATTTAGACCGACGATATAGGAAGACGGGTTGGCTTGATACATCAAATAAAAAACTACGTCTTGATACGTCTCGGCATACATATTCGACACAGCCATACTACTTTATTTTAAGCGTTTTGTCGTTTCGGATTAATCTCATTCTATGTATAAGAGTAGATAACTATAATTAAAAAGTTAAGTCGTATGTTATAGCTATTATTGTTTTATATCATATTAACTCAACGATTAAGATATCGTGGTATTTGATAAGCAAAAAAAAAGATGTCATGTTTGAAAAATGTATTTAAACATTTAATTTAATATGATTTAATTTGTTACGTAGTCTATACAAATTCAGTATTATTAAATCTTTATTAAATCTGTAATTACTAAAGATTGTATAACATTAAGTATAATAGTATAATTATATAGACTATAAGCAAAATATAATTGTAAAGCATTAAATTTAAAATTCACTGTAAACTAACATTTCTGAAACAAAAATAATAGGTGCTTGTTTTTTTGCGAGTAAGCATTTCAACGGAAACTTTACTATTAAAAATATTCACTTATGGGACGCAACAAAAAAAAATAAAATATCTATAAAATACAATCTTTTCAATCTATCTCATTACAAATCATTGTTAAAGCTCCATTCTACATCACAAACCAAACAATAAACAAAACATAAAAACAGATCAAAATTAAGTCAAAAGTGTTATTTCTGGGTAACTCCTTTTAATCATGTCACTCGTATTTCTATCAATAAAAAAAAAAAAAATAATATATATTAAACATGTTTATTGTAAAAAAAAATTACAGATTGTATGTATTTTAATAAATAACAAAAATAAAATAAATAAATAAAAATATTCACTGCAATATATTGTTATTTTAAATCATTGACGGACCTAATGTTGATAAATTATTTATTTTTCATATTTATTAACACTTTCTTATCTTTTGGTAACTATCTTAATTTGAAGTTGAAATAAAGATTTTGTATTATAAAATATGTGTAGTTAAAATATAATAATATATTATACGTAAGTTCATGATTTTATAAAAAAAATTTTATTTAATATAAATTTAAACATAATATTATACTCTAACTTCCCTATTTACTTTGTCATACACTTCTGGAAAGTTTGATTTACACCCAAGATGTTGTCTTATTTGATCATACAATCGATGATCAAACATTGTCTTGAACTCATCTATATTTAAATATGTACCTACATACATCATCTTAAATCTAAAAAAAAAAAATAAAGGAATAAATAATATCATATTTAATTGTGTTTGTTAATAACAGTTTTATAAACTTCTAAAAAAAATTAAATTTAATTGAATTAAATTAAAAAAATTATTTTATGTCTTACCCTTTTAATTTAAGTACAAATATTTCTAAATCTCTTAAAATAGCCGTGTTATATTTAGTGACTTTAGGTTCACCATATAATCCAATATCAATGTACATATTGTCTACTGCTGTGTATGAATGTATAAGACCTTTTCCTGGACGCAAAACAAGTGGACAAACCCAAATTGGATAAATCTAAAATTAATCAATCACAATTTGAGCAGTGTATTAATTTTAATGGTAATAATTATTAAACATTGTTAATTACATTGAGAGTTGTATGAAATTTTTCAACCGATTTTTTCAAACTGGAAATTGGTAATATGAAATCATCTATGAAATGATGTTTATCATATAACTGTTTGATTGTATCTGTTTGTGTCAATTTCAATAAAGCTACCTTTGCTGGCATCAACCATCCTAGTAGATAACGAAAAACTGGATGATTTCCGAAAGGTATTATATCCTAAACATATAAACTATACGTTAATTAAAAATACAATTAATTTTTCATAACATTTTAGGTACCTGGATTTCCCAAAATAATGATTTATTATGTCTAAAATAATAATCTTTTAGCGGAATATATTCCTCGCCAATTTTCCATGTCATTAGGAACGATTCAACGTGTTTAAAAAACCATGGTTTATAATATCGACCAATTCTGTTCACATTTTTCTAAGTAAAATGAATAAAATACACTTAGCCAAATAATAATAATTATAAATAATAATTTTTTAACTATTACTTCAGTGTCTCTATAGCCGTCTGTCATTTTTCCAGTCATCAAAACTCCTTCGTCTTTGTTATATATTAAAAGCTCGACAAAATCATTATGTTCTAAATTACTAATTTCCGCAATCAATCTGGATTCCATTTTTTCTAAAGTATGAATTGGGTGGTACTTGAGTTTCACATATCTAAATGATTCAAAAACTGTTTCATAATTAAACAATGGCAAAATTATTAATCCTATAAATACTTTTTCGCAGGTATTATTTGAATATCGACTGCTGTTAAAAATCCCAAAGTGCCATACGAATGTGGTACGGACTCGAAAACGTCTGTATTCACTGACTGTGCTTAATCATCAATTACATTAATTACATTAATTACATTAAATAAATAATTATGTTGGTGTTTATACAAAAAAAAAAAAAAAATGATTATTTAATCAAATATAAATTGTAACTGAACCTTTGAGCATATAATCAAATCGCCATTGGCCGTAATGAGTTCATAACGTATACATGATTCGTGAAATAATCCGAATTTGTGCGATGACGATTCCAATCCAATTCCCATAACCAGACCGCCTAAATATTTAAATCAATTATAAATTATTTTTCCCGAAATAAAAACATATTGAATTGTTATAACTATTTACCGATAGTTAGATCTTCCATATCCAAGGCCACGGGTACCGTCCAACCGGATTCAATCAAAATAGGAATCAATCGCCCCATGGTAATACCCGGTTCTACTCTGACTATCTAATGCATATTATTATATGATAATAGTTGTTAGAAAAAACAGACTATGATACTTTACGTCACATTAATATAGGTTACTTTAAATGAATATTGGATTTTATGTTATTATGTGTTACGTATTGGACAATATTATCACCTTGGTATTACTATAGGTGCGATTGCTTACTCGAGTCTCAGTGTCGATCAAAATTATTCCATCTAAGTGGACGTTTATATTGAACATGTATTTTTTGTAAGCCATGTCAGCTATAGTCATACTCCTCCAACTTGGTCTAGCCGTACACATAACTTGATCGGGAGCATGTTTATTTCGATGTCGGATCTGGAAAATAAAACGGTCGGAACAATTGCAACAGGTACCATATTATATAGGTACGTGCATGAGCGTCCCTAGGGGGGGGCAATACGGGGCACTTGCCCCCCCCCCCTTAGAATTTTAAATTTGTTTCCTAATTTTGATAATTAATGTTATACTGACAAAACATAATAATTTTCTATAAATAAAATGTTTTTAATAATAATAACTAATTGTAATAATGATAAAACATGATAATGTACTATAAATAAATTGTATAAGAATATCTTTATTTATTTTTTAAATTAATTTTGCCCTCCCCCCTTAGAAAAATGTCTGAGGACGTCCATGGGTACGTGCACAAATCATTTTGAATCAGATGCTCACCTGGCGTTGAATGTTGCTAAGATTTTTTTCGTGAACCAGTCCGGAATGACGTGACCATAAACTTTTTTCAAATACCGACCATATCTTACCCAACACGGTACACGGCAAAAGAAAGAAAACCACGAACACCCATCGATAGTTTATGAGCATATATTCAATTAACGATTCAGAATGCATATTAAAAATAAGTAATATAGAGTAATTTAATCGAAACCGTCAATGGACTGAATGTGCTGATTTTTTTTTTTAACTCGCGTATTTTTCTATAAAATCTTCAATAAATTATACAATGAAATATTATCCACGTACTAGTGGCAATAGGTATATGAACACAACATATTTAGGTATTATGAAATTATATTATGATCGTCATATTAAAAATGAATACGCATAAAATTAAAAGTGTATAATGACTGTTTATACATATAAATTTAAAATTATATTTGGTTTAAATAAGATATATATGAGATAATAGTAGCTTTATCAATATTTACTAACCATTAATTGCCACTTGAAGCAAAGATTGATTTAATAACACGCTACAACATAACAATTCAATAATATTGAAAATACTTATATAGATTATTAAATATTTACTAATAATGAACTCATAAGTAGTAATATGTAGATATATAAATACGTTTATGTCTTTTTGTATACAATTTTCATTTTATTATACTTAAAATTTTAACGACATCTATCTTTTATCTTAAATAAGCCAAAAATTGATCATGGGGTTATATTTATCTATACATGGCGTAATAATATATATTTAACTACAAAACTATTTCAATATTAAAATTTTTTTAAAACTATTCTGAATTAAGCAATGTTTATTTCATATATAATACTATTATTTGTGTAATTTTAGATTCAAAGCAAAGCGATGAATATATTGATTTTACGTACGATGTGTGTCGCCTGTGTTACTGTTAGGTAGCTACTCTACTTAAGTGTTTATGCTCTATATATTATTTTTTTTCCTCGTTCATATGCTTATCATAATTAATACTACAGATTGTATATTTTTCTAATAAATGTTAAAAATATCAAACAATTAACGATGTGTGTTTTTCTGCTCATTGAATTATTGACAAAATTGATTTTTTTTTTTTTTTATAACTCAAAAAACAAATAACTGTAGATACATGAAATTTTTACTAAATGCTTAAATTGCAATTTTATGTTTATAATAACATTTTAAAACTATTTTAAATCTTTTTGAGCTATTTATAGGCATGAGGAAGTTTCAATTTTTAGTTTTTTTTCTATGAATATTCATTAAAAATTATTCGCTGGGTAGAAATGCATGGAAGTATAAAACGAAACTCCTAAATTTCCTCTGATAAAATATATCAAAAATCTGTAGTTAAAATAATATTTTATAAGCGGTTCAAATTTAAATTTTGATAAAATTTGTCAACATTTCAAAAATATACAAATGATTTTGTAATTAGAAATTCATACAAACTTTTCTTTTTATATTCAGTTTTTAAAATTAAATACATGATTAAGTAAGTAATTCATATTAAAACCATCATAAAATCTATGAAATAATATAAAAGCAATTTTTTTTACAGGTATTTCAAATTTAAATTTGTATTAAATTATTTATTTAAACGATGAATAACAATAATAATTTATACTGTTATAATTTTAAAAAATTATTCATGAGAAATTAAAACGTTTACATATATTATATTTTTACAAATTTTACTAATTGCAATGACATTTTTGATTTATTTTAAGATATTTTCTATTTATACTATAAAACTATTTTTACTTTTATTTAACTGCATTTACAAAAATATGTTAATAGATTTTTCATTATATAAGTAAAATAGTATATATATATATATATAATATGGTAAAAAATAAAAATATGTAATAATTAAATACTAATAATATATAAATACGATGTTTTTAGAAAAAAATGATATCAATCTACTAAAATATTAAAACCAAAATAAATCACTTTTAAAGCTATTATTTATATTATCTATAAAAAAAAAAAAAACATTATGAAGTATAATTTGTGATTTAAATAACCTATCACACTGTCACCGCTCAGAATCGTTATTTGTGTATAATGATGCATCATTGAACTTTAAATTTGACATTATAGTAACCTACTCGACACTTAATGTACAGAAAAGCAATTCCCACTTGCCTACCTTTTTTTATACTTGAAATTATTAAAATAAAATTATATATATAATTCAAAATATTGAAATTGTATAGAATCAAATTCTTTAAAGGTTTTTCTTAGTTTTCGCTAAATCCAAATGACTAAAAAATAAATCAGTATAAACATTTATTAAGTAAATTATTTGATAACTATAACTGAGTATTATCCTTTTTACTTACTAAAATTCAATTTACGCTTAATCTAAAATCAGTAAAGATGTTATACAAAACATTCGAAACATTCATTATATTAATATAAAAGTGTATTCTAAATTACATAAAAAATTACTCATATTAATTAAAAGTAATAGATAATATAATAATTAACAGAAGAAAATTCTACTGCATACAAAGGCTAAAAAATAACGTATAAAATTTATAATTTATCAATCGAAAGTAAAGTATTCTATGCATATATAAATAAATAATCATTGGTCCAATGATTTTTGATAACATATTAATTGCGCTTAGACAAGTTGATAAAAAATAAAAAATAGTTGACATTAAAAATGAGAATAATAAGTATTCAAGTGTAGAATTGACCGTTATGTAAAATAATCAAAAAAAAAAAAAAAATGAAAATAAAACCTAAATTTGAGCCTACATAAAATGTAAAACTGTCCGGGTTTTACCAACTACAAAAAAAATAAACTTGAAATCCGTTTAGTTTGGCTTATGCGATTAAAATTTAAAAATGTACTTTATTTTTTATTTATATTATATTATTTTATATACATACTTATAATTTTTAAACAATTAGTTTTAACAGAACAAATTATAACATTAGAAAACTAACTCATCTGATACTATTTATTTCATTAGTAATTTTAAAAACTTTAAGCTTTATAAATAGAAATTAACTAAATTTTACCAAAGTTTAAAATCGTTATGAAAAATTTAATGTTTGTTCATTCTGTGTTAAAAATCTGTAAATCAAGATGAGAAATAAACTTAAATTTAAAAAAAAAACCACCAGACATTCTAACACAACACACGTAGTCATGTACTGATTTTTCGTAGTCGAATTGCTTTCAAACCATCTAATAATTATCTAAAAACGCTCATACCTAACCTAACCTAACCTAATCTGTTAAACTTTTATAAATTCACAATAGTTTTAGTAAATATGTATAAACTAACACTTTACTTTTATAATAGATTATATGAATACAATTTAAATATCTATTCGAATAAAAGTTATAAATTAAAAATAAATTCACAATTTTAATATACATAGTAAAGTCATTTTTAAACATAATTAATATCCTATAAAACCAATTTTTAAAATAAACTTCAATATTTTATTTGCTATTGCTTTTCGTTTGCATTTAAATTATACATTTAAAACAATTATCAGTCAACAGTTTATTAGATTATTTAAATATTTTAACTACATTTTCAAAGTCATTATTAATATTCGTAATAATAAAAGAAACATGAACATATGCATCATTTATAGAAAAAGTCGATATTATAGTCCAATAAGTAGTAAGATAACGTTGGGTTGTAATGCGAGTAAAGCAAGCATTATAACTCTAGGATCAAGAAAAAAAACAAATGTTTAATAATAAACTCAAATATAAAACATTTCAACGATATAACATTTGAAGTTTCGAAAATTTAATAAACTTTACTTATAAATATAATTTCCGGTGAAGCTTCTGACATAAAAAAAAAAATACAAAAACATCTGAAAACAGCAAAATAAATGATATTATGTTATTATTGTGAAGACAGAGTGAGAGACAAGCAAGTGTGCTTCATGTTCAGTCGAAGCAGCAGCGCGATGATGCATCGGTACTCGGTTAATAAATTATTTTTTAGTGGCAAATATTAATATTATATAATATTGGATAGCAGAAAGTTGATACAATTTGGAATAAATTCTTTATACTTCAAATTTTGAATTTATCACTACAAAACATTTTGATTATTTAATATCATTTAATTTTTTTAATAATAACATATAAATTTTATTTTTTATTTTGAAGCAAAAAATATTTCTGATAAATTCTTAAGTACACATATCAAATTTATAACTAATGTTTAAACTAGTTTAAATTATTTTAAGGTTAGATAAGTGGAGAATTGAACAAATATTTAGCAAGACATTATTTTACATGTTTGTTCAAAATTAAATTTTTAAGCATCAAAATTCTCAAAAAAATATTCTACTTCAAAATATGAAATTAATATCATAACATAAATAAGGTGAATTAAAATTTATGTAACAACCATTTTATCGTTTATATATAAAATTTTACGACAGAAAAATATGTTTAACGCGAAAGTTTTTTTATTTAGAAAAACCTAAAATGAAGTTATTACATATATTATATAACATACATAGCATAAAAATTCAGATATTTTTAAACTTTTCATACTAATATATTATATTAATTTTACAGAAAACCAATTTCAACAAACAAAGCAATTTATATACTTCATATTACGATATAAGATAACATATATTAGCAGATAATTAAAATTATATTATTACCTATGAACACTTAAACTTATTTAGCAAGTTAAATTTAAACTATTTTTCAAAAATATCTAACACTGTATAAACTTAAAAGCTATTTATTTTATGTTATATGTGAACTATTTTATAACACAGATATAATCAATTTCAAAGTCAAAAACGTTTTACACGATTGTTGAATATATTCCCGAAATATAGGTATGCTCGGAAATAGGTACCTCTTAGGAACTTAGTGCGGCAATAAATAATAATACACAATAAGCATCATTTATAATAAATCGTACAAATTGGGTTTGAAATTAACCGCAATCCTTAATTTTTTTTGAAACGAAACAAATAGATACTTATTTTCTCGAGAGCGATCAGTCCGAAACTACAATGCGCTCGGAACAAATCGGCTTTACAACTTTGTCAAATATGTACGCCGAGCTGTTGTTCCGGATCGGGTGCGTGAAACGCCAAATAAAAAGCCACGTCCGGGCGTCCTGCACATCTGGTATAGCGGTGTGGGCCGCAGGATCAATCAACGAAACTATTCCGCGATCATACCACCGTGAACGTCATCACGTTAAAAGGACGTGAATTTTTCGTTGCGGGCCTCGGCAGCTGCGGAGACCCATTCGCATTTTCACCACTCCCAGAACGAGACGGTCAACGGTTGCCCCATACACAAACGAAGTGACTCAGCAGGACCTCGAACCAGGGCAAACCGGTCTGCGCTTCT